GTAGATATAGTGTACTTAGATTTCCAGAAAGCCATTGACAAGGTCCCTCACCAAAGGCTCTTATGTAAATTAAGTTGTCATAGGATAAGAGGGAAGATCCTTTCATGGACTGAGAACTGGTTAAAAGACAGGAAATAAAGGGTAGGAATAAATGGTAACTTTTCAGGATGGAGAGGGGTAACTAGTGGTGTTCCCCAAGGGTCAGTCCTGGGACCAATCCTATTCAACTTATTCATAAATGATCTGGAGAAAGGGGTAAACAGTGAGGTGGCAAAGTTTGCAGATTATACTAAACCGCTCAAGGTAGTTAAGACCAAAGCAGATTGTGAAGAACTTCAAAAAGATCCCTCAAAACTAAGTGATTGGGCAAGAAAATTTCAAATGAAATTTAATGTAGATAAATGTAAAGTAATGCACATTGGAAAAAATAACTTCAACTATACATATAATATGACGGGGGCTAATTTAGCTACAGCAAATCAGGAAAGAGATCTTGGAGTCATCATGGACAGTTCTCTGAAGACGTCCACGCAGTGTGCAGCTGCAGTCAAAAAAGTAAACAGGATGTTAGGTATCATTAAAAAAGGGATAGAGAATAAGATGGAGAATATTGCCCTTATATAAATCCATGGTACGCCCACATCTTGAATACTGCGTACAGATGTGGTCTCCTCATCTCAAAAAAAGATATACTGGCATTAGAAAAGGTTCAGAGAAGGCAACTAAAATGATTAGGGGTTTGGAACGGGTCCCATATGAGGAGAGGTTAAAGAAACTAGGACTTTTCAGCTTGGAAAAGAGGAGACTAAAATAGATAAGAGGTATATAAAATCATAAGTGGTGTGGAGAAAGTGAATAAGGAAAAGTATATTCCCATAATACAAGAACTGGGAGCCACCAAATGAAACTGATGGGCAGCAGGTTTAAAATAAATAAAAGGGTGTTCTTCTTCATACATGCATAGTCACTCTGTGGAACTCCTTGCCTGAGGAGGTTGTGAAGGTTACCACTATAACAGGGTTTAAAAGAGAACTAGATACATTCATGGAGGTTAAGTCCATTAATGGCTATTAGCCAGTATGGGTAAGGAATGGTGTCCCCAGCTTCTGTTTGTCAGAGGGTGGAGATGGATGGCAGGAGAGAGATGGCTTGATCATTACCTGTTTGATTCACTCCCTCTGGAACACCTGGTATTGGCTACTGTCGGCAGACAGGGTACTGGGCTGGATGGACCTTTGGTCTGACCCAGTATGGCCATTCTTATGACTGAAAACACTGGGGCTGTTTATTTTTGAATGTACCCAAACTCCGGGGCTGGGGCAGGGCTTTCCCTGTTATTTGTGGAAGCCATTTTGATACTGGGCCCAGAAATTGAGAGCAGGAAATTGCCACTGTGCCCTCAGTGCTCCCCAGCTCCCCATTCCCTGTGATACCTAGGAAGCATGGAAGAGAAGAGGGAAGCAACCTGACATGAATGTAGAGAAGTGAGAAGAGTTGGAAGAACAGAGATAAGAGCAAGCTACAGAGAGAACAGAGGGCAAGAGGAGCAGCCTGCATAGGAAAGTAGAGGGGACAGGTGGGGGGCATACATGTGAGGGTACGGGGCAGAAGTCGGGGCTATTGGTGGGGAAAGAAGCAAAGAGGTCTACAGTCACTAGAGAATATCTTGCTCCAGAACCCAGGAGCCCAGATTCCTGTATACTAACATTCTTCTCCTGTATAGCAAATAGCTGATAAATGTACCAACGTAATAAGTTCCTTATCTGTCTCTCGCAGAGAAGACCCCAGCCTACTGATGCTGCTAGTTACTCCATTAGCTCAAGAGAGGACTGTGTAGTACATCCTAAAGATCTCACCTGTCTGATGATCCTTGTGGGTGAGAATGTGGTTTTATGAAACGCAAGATTTTGTGGGAGGGAGGAAGGGAGGCTCAGTTTGCTTTTTAGAAAAAGACTGAAAAATGCCACATTAAAAAGAACATGATGTTTCCAAAGGAAATCACTCAAAATTAGGAAATGTCATAATTAAGTTTACCCATGCAATCTTAATTCAGTTCCCCGGGCACATGCATTATGAGACAATCTTTAATTACATAAACATGCCCTATTTTATCTACAAGACACTTGCCTTATACTGTGTACAAGTTGGATGATGCTAAGATGTCATTATAATTAATTTTTATACTACAGGCAGTCCCTGAGTAACGTGGATCTGACTTATGTCGGATCCGCAGTTACGAACGGGGATTTTCTCGCCCTGGAGGACAGGAGCGGCGAGACGCCTGGTCCCTCCACCCGCCTCCTCCGGGGCGAGAAAAGCTGCTCCCCGGCCCCCGGGCTGGGGGGGGGGGGGGGGTCCAGCAAAGCTGCTGGACCCCCCCAGCAGACCAGGGACACCCGAGCAAAGACACCCAGGCAGCGGGACTCCCGCCGCCTGGGCGGCTTTGCTCCTGTCCCCCTGGTCTGCCTCCAGTGACGATACCGGAACTCTCTGCTGCCTTGTGCTGGCATTGCTAGGGACGTTCTGCCTACCGGCCTCTTTTCCTGTAAAATAGTTTGTTTGTAGTTCATAATTATAATGGTTCCTTAGTAGTTTTAGAGTGACTTAGAATTAGATAATTGGTCCCAACCAGGACTTTGTCTTGGCATGGGGCATCCCCAGTTTTAAGCCACGTGATCTGTAAGCATCCTATGGCCCTCAGTGGTCCTTGCAGCAGCTGCCTGAGGTGTCTGGGAGGAGGACGCATAAGCGACAACTGATGCATTTGTAAGTCATTTAAACCCAGGATGAAGAGGGAGCAGGGCGTTTGTCTCTGAGTGCTCCTGATGGAGTCAGTGTTAACTCTGGCAATGGAGCAGAGGCCCAACTTGGCCTCCAAGCACTGGGCACTGGTGCAGAGTGCCTAACCGACACCCTCTGCCAGCTAGCACTGGTCTCACGCCCTGGCCCTATCCAAGAAACTTGCAAGGAGAAAATCTCCCACTTCCCGTAAGTGAAAGGGAAGGACCAGAGGAGAGGCAAGACCTATGTTGGGCAACTCCACTCTGTCAGGGAGCTGTGTGCAGTTATTTGGGATGGGTTCAGGATTTACTGGATTCAGCCGCTGTTGAAACTGATCAGTTTCAGCAGCGGCTGAATCTGGATGCCAGTTCCGACTTACATACAGATTCAACTTAAGAACAAACCTACAGTCCCTATCTTGTACGTAACCCGGGGACTGCCTGTACATATAATTTCCTAACAGCCTTGCAACTGTCTTTGTGGTTGCGATTGTAATGGGAGGGTTAAATGAAGGCAAAGCCGCTGTTGAAACTGATCAGTTTCAGCAGCGGCTGAATCTGGATGCCAGTTCCGACTTACATACAGATTCAACTTAAGAACAAACCTACAGTCCCTATCTTGTACGTAACCCGGGGACTGCCTGTACATATAATTTCCTAACAGCCTTGCAACTGTCTTTGTGGTTGCGATTGTAATGGGAGGGTTAAATGAAGGCAAACATTAAAAGCATAGCTACAATGTAGAAAAAAAGATTAGTGATTTGGGTCGCCTATATTTTGGGGCATTCATGCTGAGACAAGGCCTTTTTTTCAGAAACTACATGGCACTGTCCTTAAAAAGTCAGGCCCTTTAAATTTGTTTTACATTAAAGCACCAGAAATTCAGGCATCCATTCTGCAATTCTTGGCACATGAATTGATGGACTGACTTATGCTGTTTTCATAACTGCTATACACATGCTACCTATTAATTATGTATTATTATTATTATTTTATTTTATTAAAAGAATCCTCTTTTTTAAGGGCAACATGAATCCCACAATCCCAAATCTGATATGGCTCCTTCTTCTGGCTTATGGTACTTCAGAAACTCATGCTGAGAGCAAATATCCCAGAACCATGCCATGTGATGTCAGTGAGAATAACTCCTCCATCATTTTTGACTGCAGTGCCCGTGAATTGAGAAGTGTGCCTCCCGCAATGGATGGTAATGTAACAGAATTAAAGCTCTCAGACAACCTTATAAAGGAGGTATTTAAAAAATCTTTTCAGGGCCTGAATAATCTGATGAAAATAGATCTAAACAGGAACCAGTATTCTGAGGCAGGGGAAGAGGTTCATGATTTGTGTAAAAAAGGAATGGTCATTGAAGATGGAGCTTTTGCTAACTTAACAAAGCTACGGGAATTACTAGTTGATGAAAACTGCCTGTGTAAAATACCAGTTGGGATGCCATTGTCCTTAACCTCACTGCATTTGAGCTATAACAGCATCCTCTCTGTCTATCAGAAAAATTTTTCAGAACTCACACAATTGAAGGAACTCTATATGGACGGGAACTGTTATTATGGCAATCCCTGTGAAAAACCTTTCCTTGCAGACAACGGGGCTTTCTCAGACCTCACTATTTTGATAGTCCTGTCACTCTCCTTCAACAACCTGACCCGAGTTCCAAGCAACCTGCCTCCTTCTCTAAGGAAACTTTACCTCAGCAACAACAAGATCAAAACCATCAACCGGGATGATTTGAATGAACTGTCTAATATAGAAGTCCTTGATTTAAGTGGGAACTGTCCAAGGTGCTATAATGCCCCCTACCCATGTGAACCTTGTAGTGGGGACTCTGCCATTGAAATACATCCTCTTGCTTTCCAGGATCTGAAAAATTTACAGAACTTAAACCTCTCCAGCACCTCTCTCACTAGCATCCCTGCCAGTTGGTTTTATAACACAACACAGTTAAAGGTGCTATATCTTGAATTTAACTATTTAATAGAGGAAATAGCTTCTGGAGAGTTTTTACTCCAGCTACCTCATTTGGAGGTGCTAGATTTATCTTTTAACTATGCCAGGAAATCATACCCCAGGTATATAAATATTTCAGACAAGTTCTCCAGCCTGGTCTCTCTTCAGCAACTTCATCTAAGAGGTTATGTGTTCAAGGAACTTAAAAGCCAACACCTTCAGCCCCTCATAAAGCTTACCAAACTGCACACCCTCAATTTTGGAGTCAACTTTATCAAGCAAATTGATCTCAGTGTGTTTCATCTCTTTGCAAATCTGACTATAATTTCTTTGTCTGACAACAGGATATCGCCTCTAGTAGATGGCAATAATAACAGTGTCATTAGAGGAGAATCAGTCCAAAATCATGTCATTCGAAGTCGTTCCACAGATACTGAACTTGAGCCATCAGTAAATAGTATGTTACTGGCAGAAGGCAAACCCAGTAGTAGTGTGATTCCCATTTTTCATTTAATCAAACCTCAGTGTAGCATGTATGGTAAATCATTAGATCTGAGCTTAAATAGTATTTTTTTCATTGACCAACAACAATTTAAAGATTTCCATGAAATAGCCTGTTTGAATTTGTCCTCAAATGGCATTGGCCAAGCATTGAATGGCACAGAATTTATCTTTCTGCCTAATCTCAAATATTTAGATCTGTCTTTTAATAAACTTGATTTGGCTTATCGATATGCATTTTATGAATTGCCTAAACTAGAAGTACTGGACCTCAGCTACAACGTGCACTATTTTATTGTGTCAAGGATAACACACAGATTGGGATTTACTGAAAATCTTCCACATCTAAAAGTTTTAAATTTAAGTTACAATGAAATTTTTACACTCACAGAGCCCAATCTAACGAGCAGCTCCCTGAAAGAGTTAGTGTTCAAGGGAAACCGCCTCGATATTTTATGGAAAAATGGAGATAACAGATACATAAATATTTTTAAAAACATCTACAACCTGACTCATCTTGACATATCCCACAACAGACTTCATGAAATTCCTACCAAGGCATTCCTTGGCCTGCCACTAAGTCTCACTGAGCTCCACATAAACAACAATGAATTAAAGCACTTTGACTGGACAGCCCTGCAACAATTTCAGAACCTCACATTACTGGATCTCAGCTCAAATGCCTTGTCCTTTGTGACTGATAATCTTGCAAACTGCACAGCTTCTCTTCAGCGACTATTCCTTCAACACAATAAGATTTCGCAGCTTGCTGATGGATTTTTCCACAGAGCCAGCAGCCTCCTGCACCTTGATTTAAGTTACAACCAGCTGCCTTCCATAAACCAGTCAATACCTCAGTCGGAAAACTTAATTCATATACAACTTTTGGACTTACAAGGAAACCCTTTTGAGTGCACCTGTGCAACTGTTGATTTCATACACTGGATAAACTATTATATTAATATTAGTATCCCACGACTGGCAACGGATGTCATTTGTGCAACACCTGGAGATCAAAGAGGGAAGAGCATCATAAGTTTAGACTTATATGCCTGTACTTTGGATACGGTTGCAGCAATATGCTTTTCTTTATCATTCTTTATTATTTTGACTGTGATGACAACAGCTATCACGAAACACTTATTTTATTGGGATGCCTGGTATATTTACTATTTTTGGACAGCAAAACTAAAAGGATATAAATCTCTTGGCATGACCAAAGCTCTGTATGATGCTTACATCGCGTACGACACTGAGGATATAACAGTAACTGACTGGGTAATAAATGAACTACGGTTTCATCTAGAGGAAAGTGAAGACAAGCAAGTTCTGCTTTGCTTGGAGGACAGAGACTGGGAGCCAGGAAAGGCTGTCATTGACAACCTTGCACAGAGCATCCAACACAGCAGAAAGACAGTATTTGTTCTAACCGAAAGATATGTAAAAAATGGGAACTTCAAAACAGCTTTTTATATAGCTCTGCAGAGATTAATGGATGAGAATAGAGATGTGATTGTCTTTATTCTACTGGAACCAGTCTTGCAGCATTCCCGGTACCTGAGGCTAAGGAGAAGGATCTGCAAGAGCTCTGTTCTTGACTGGCCTAAGAATCCAAACGCTGAAGGCCTGTTCTGGCAAAATCTAAAAAGTGTAGTGCTAACAGAAAATTATAAAGGATTGTACACAGATTCCATTAAATGAAACAACACAGAGAAAAATGACTTCCTTGAGGCAGATACTCAGATATCTTTGTATTGAGCCAATACCAATGTTGAGTACATAATTAGAATTTGGTTAAAACAGTATCACTGGAAGTGTTGATTTTCCACTAAAGTGTCTGAGGAAGTTTGCAGGAAACAAACATTACAGTATTTTGGCCTTGATTCATGCCAGTTATAAGTTATATGGCAGGCAAGTGGAAGATCATATCCATAGATACTATGCAGTACTGATGATCTGTATAAATTGTTTGTCAGTACTTGCCAGGTATCACCACTAATTACACATGTAATTAGCCATTGTGAATTGTATTTTTAACACTGTGGAGGCTCTGTAACTATCTAATTGGTCAGTAAGAATAAAGGACAGTCTTATCCTTGGCTACCTTTTAATTAAACACTTTTTATACTTCAGTACACTGATAATTAACAACAAAAGCTGGGGCTTCGAAGGGACACTTTCAAGGAGAGTAGTGGTACTTCCCTGTGTGTTTTAGCCTTCTGCTGATTTAGAATGTTTGCTTCTTAAAGATCCATTTTTTTATTTCTTCATACCTATTATACATGTGGAAATTATATACATGCTGTGACTTCCTTGCCTAACCTAGGCTATTAGCTTCTTTCTCCAAAATCAATTATCCATGCTTGTGTAACTCACACACACTCACACGTCTAGATTACAAGCTTCTTTCGAAAGAGAGCATCCACACTTCAAAAGTGCATTGAAAAAGCAATCTGATTTTTTCAAAAGAGAGCGTCCACACTCATTGGATGCTCTCGCATAAAAGGCCACCCAGAACCGCTTCACCCAGGACATTAGGTCAGTAGTTACTTCCAGGTGCTGTTGCCTAAGGCTATCTGAGCCATTTCTCAGGTTCTGCTGCATGCTTGCCTACCTCTCTGAGGGACAGCAAAGCTTGTGCAGTGCATGCTCTGGTTGCCCAGCTTTGTTGGATGCCACAGTGTTTTTTTCTTTTTAGCTATGGAGCCAGAGCTACCCCTGGGCATGCGATGGCCCTATACTACCATGCTGTAGGTTCTGCAGCAGTTTCAGCAGCTCAACTCCCAGCTCATCTGTGAGTTCCTCTGCCTGGATGCGGGAGCAATGACCTTGCTCCCACACCCCATGGTTGAGACACAATTTTGGAGGCTGGACACCAGTTCTGACTGGTGGGATCCGGCTGATGATGGAGCAGAGGGAAGACCAGCAGTGGCTCAACAACTTCCACATGTGGAAGGCCATGTTATTGGAGCTGTGTGCCTGGCTCACCCCTGCCCTCTGGAGATGCAACACCCACCTGCAGCCCACCATCCCCCAGGAAAAGAAGGTTGCAACTGCCGTATGGAAGCTCACCACCCCCAACAGCTATTGGTCGGTGAGCCACCAGTTTGGCATGGGTTAGTCCACCATCGGGGTCCTCCTCATGGAGGTAAGGTACTCTCGGGGTGCACTCCCTGCGGGAGGGGGGGTCCTGGAAAAGGGGGCCCCTTGGGAAAAGAGAGAGGGAGTGGAGGGGTGAAGAGGGTGTGGAGGGAAAGCCCGTCCCTGGTGGGGCAGTGTTGTGCTGTCCCACCCTCACACAGCCCTGCTGCTGGGAGGGCAGCCTCATAGGGGATGGCTCCTGAGGTGTTTGGGGCGGAGTGTGGGGGGTGGGGGACAAGCACCTCCCAAGGGCCAAAGCACCCCCTCTCATTCTCTGTTTTGAATGTTTCTATGTATCCTTCTGCAGGTGGTGAGGGCCATCAACTCCATCCTGCAGTGCAGGGTCATCCTCCTCAGAGACCTGGACCCAATTATGGCTGGATCTGCTGTCGTTGGCTTCCTGAACTGTGGAAGAGCGATCGATGGGACCCATATCCCGATCTGTGCACCACAGCATTGAGCCACCCAGTACATAAACAGGAAGGGATATTTCTCCATGGTGCTGCAGGTCCTGGTCGACCATTGGGGACAGCTTTTAGACATTTTTGTAGGGTGGTCGGGCCGGGCATGATACCCACATATTTAGGAACTCTAGCCTGTACCACAAGCTGGAGGCTGGAACATTCTTCCCTAGAGGAACTTTTGCATAGGGGACGTATGGATGCCACTCTGTATCGTTAGTGCCATGGCCTACTCACTCATGCCGGGGCTTATGAAGCCCTACATTGGCCACCTGGACCACACAAGGGAACAACTCAACATGCACCTGAACTGGGCCCACATGCAGGTGGAGTGCACCTTTGGATGCCTGAAGACCAAGTTCAGGTGCCTTCTGACACGCCTCGACATGGGGGAGTGCAACAAAAACTTTGTATTTTGTTTTTCATAATAAAAGTAACTGGGGCAGAGGCGGGCTGAGAACCTGGGTGGGGGAAGGGAGGAGGGAGGCTCAGGGCTGGGTGTGGCATGTGGTGCAGCTGGAAGTGCCACCTTGGGTCCAGGGACCTCAATGAACTTGGGGTTGGGTGGGGCTTGGT